TAATGCTTGGCTTGCACACCAAGCAATTCTAGAAGCTCCCTAAAATTAAAACCTACACTAAAACTCTCGGCGCCCTAATGCCTTCGGTCCGTCCCATGCGCGCGCCTTCGGTGCTATTCATCGTCGCGCGCGGTATTCCACGCGCGTGCTTCGCATGCCGCCCATCCGTGCTCGCCTAATCCTTCGCGACCTAGGAGACTTGCGCCTGCTTCCCACGCGTTGCCCTCCGCGCGCTCCTGGCCATCGCCGCCATTCCCATGCGCGTGCGTACCGTCGCCCGCTACGCCTATACCCCCTAGGATTGGGTCGCTCGCGCTTGTCGCGTACTCGCACGCTGCCGCGCGCCTATCGCTATTGCTCCCCGCATCCCGCGCGTCCTCGCCACTCCCGCGAGTATCGCGCACGTCCCTCGTCCCCGTGTCGCTCGCGCTGTCGTCTCGTACCATGCGCGTCGTGCCCAGCGCCCCAGCGTCCCGATCTTCTACCTCGCGCCCCCGTGCGCCCGCTGCACTGCGCGTCCCAGCCGCCCCCGTGGCCTGATCGCATCCGCGTACGCCCGCTTCTTCGCACCCATCCCAGCCAACGCCCGGCACATAATCGCGCGCATCACGGCCCGATGCGCGCCCCACGCCCGATAGTCGATCCTCCTCGATCCCTTTGCCGTCCGGCCCCGTTGGCTCGCCTCTTGGCCACGGGTCCCATCCGTCCATCCCAACGCAATCACCAACCCTCCATATCCAACCATCCTTCATACGACCCTTGCCTCCCTTTCGAGCCACCATCTTGCGAACTCGCCTTTTCCGCGCACAAGGCTTGCACCAACACTTCTCTTCTTTTGCTCTTGCCCTGCCTTTCCTTCGAGTTCTTTTGATCTTACACCTCTTAGGCTTCAATCCAGCCTTTGGTCCACATCCTTTCGGCCAATCCCTTACACATGATGGCCGGTGAATAGGACTAGATGGCTCTTCCAACATGTTTTCCAACCATAAAACGAGATCATTACCATCATCATTGTCGGACTCACCGGGGTTGATGACCACTTCCGTATCATTCCCCTTCTCTTCGAGACTTTCCTTGTCCTCAAGGATTA